AACATAGAATGAATGATTAAAACTGGTTTCCGATCAGTAAGTCACAAAATTGCATACCAGCCAAATATTACAATCAACGGCAGAAATCTTGAAATCTAGTCCTTGCTGAATGAACATTTAAGAATAAAGGGATATTAAAGAACATCGTAAAATGATAATTTATTGTTTATTTAAAAACTTTCTAGTTTCTGATGTCTACTATTTCCAGCATTACTGTTATTATCACAAAAATAAAGGTAATTTTTCTTCTTATTGTACACCTATCCATTTATTTCTTTGATTTAATTTCCACTTTGTTAGTGAAATTTGTTATATAAGTTTCACTGTTTTTTTTTTGCTAGTATTTGTACAATTTTCAACACAGCAACTCCGGTTGCTTATTGTGTTGTTTTTACCTACTTTTTTGAAAAAAAGTAAAATGTATACGTGTATTTGATATGCCAAAATTACAAAATATCCCCCTAAAATGCACGAATTATCCGCAGCCAACGATTTTTTCTAATGATTAATTTTTCTGTAGAGATAACATTGCTTTCCCAGCCATTGTCGATCAAAACAGTACGAAACTTTTGAATTACCGCTATGTCAACATGGTGGCTGCGCTTGTGCTCATCACATGATGAAAAGGTCTATTGTGCTACGCGCTCAGGGTAGGACCCGCTTTTTGATTTTTTTTTTATAATGGCTCTATTTTGTTTATTATATTTTTTTTAAAAAAATGAAATCCGCCAATCGTTCTCAAATTATGCGAACTACCACCCCTACAAATTTGGACGCCAAGTTCGGAAACATCCTGTATTTACATGTATACATATAAGTTATAGTGTACAATGTCACGAAGCCGCCAAGAACATTAACCTTTGCTTCTCATCAGTTTGCTTAATAGACATTTTATAGTTCATTCACATTTTGCAGTTTTATAACATATTGTTTTATTTCATTTTAATTACGTTAGTCTAGAATCCGATGTTGTTCTTTAAACACCTTTCTTTTGTAACATAGTTTTTTATTTCAAATAAATTATTTTTTAAAAAACTACCTTACAGCAATTTTGAATTTAAGTGGCGCAGTCAGTAGGATAGGTCAAACGAGATTAGTGGATATAATTTTTGGTTCGTATTAACGATTCATTGACCTATTCGAACATATACCGTGTGTTAGGAAATTCCAGTTGGGTGAACTGTAGCTCAACGAGAAGACATCAAAAGGACATTTGATACTTCGGGAATAGGAAGAAAGAACACTACAAGTGAATATTGTGGCATCTTTCGCTGGTTCTACTCATGGAAGGAATATTAATTTTGCTGTAAGTACTTATGTCATATAGAGGTAAAACTAATCAATGTGCTTCAGATTGTTCTGAAAATTCAGATAATAGTAGCACAGATTCTGACTCAGACTCACCAAAGTCTTTAATAAATTCTATAAATTCTATAAATATTGCTAAAATTTTAAAAGGTAATCAAAAATTAAAAATGGCAGTACTACTAAAAAAAGAATATTTAGATATGATACGCGAATTTCAAGGGGATACACAATTACTTCCTAGATTTTTAGAAATTTGTGAAAAATTAGTCAAAAAATTTTATAATGCAGCTGATGTTAACGATTTTTAGAATGAATATCTGATGTCAAGTATCTTAGCAAAGATTAAAGGTGAAGCAGCTGTTAATATTTCATCTTGCACAATATCAAATTGGGCAGATTTAAAAGGTGCTCTATTAAATAGTTATTCTGATAAAAGAGACATGTTTACGTTAAATATAGAGATGTTACAAACCAAACAAGGTAATGAATCGCCTTTTGATTTTTTTAATAAAATACAGCACTTATTAAATCTTCAAATTTCTAATATAAAAGCTCATACTGCTACGCATGAAATAGTTACTTTATAAATTTATTGTCGTAATTTGGCTCTCAGAGTATTGTTACGTGGTTTAAAGGAACCACTGGGTTCACTTATGCTCACCAAAAATCCTGCAGATCTAAATTCCGCGTTAAATATGTAAACAAATGACTTCCAAAACAATATTGGAGGTTTAAATACTTATAAAGGTAAATTTGTGCCTACGAATAGTTTTCTTGAAAATAGAAACACAAATAAACAATTACAAATTACTAATTTTACTCATAACTCTCAACCGCCTGTTAGACAAAATTATTTTTATAATCCATCACAACCTAATACTTGTAAAATAAATAATAATACTAATTTTGATAAAAGGACAAATATATTTAAGCCAAATCCAAATAAAACTTTTCCGAAACCTACTCCAATAAGTACGTCTACAAGAAATACATTTAGGCCTAATCAAAATCCAAATTATTTTAGACAAAATCAAAAATTTTTTGTTAAAGAATTACACACTATAGATGAGCTACCATTAGTTGAAATTCCTGAAGATACCGAAGACAATTTTTTAGGGAAAATTGCCTCGGAAAAAACAGAATAAAAATTTTTGAATTACTTAATTTAACAAACAATTAAAGCCAATTACCATACATAATTTTCCCAGAATTTAATTTAAAGGTACTAATCGATACAGGCTCTACCAGATCATTTTTATTACCTGAAACTGCTGACATGTATTTCAAAAAAATGATTAAATTCGAGCCGTTTCAAATTTTACACATGGATAGCATAACTTTAGAAGGATCAAAGTTTTTAACAATTATAGATTCTTTTTCTAAATATGGCCAATGGTACAAAATGAATTGTGCCGAAGGGCTAGAAACTGTAAATAAATAAAATTTTTCACCCATCACTGTATCGCGGATAAAATAATTTCGGACAATGGTACGGAACTAAAAAATTCACTGGTAAAAGAACTTTTGGATTTACATAAAATTAAAATTCACTTTGTTACGTTACAGCATCCAGAATCTAATGGAATAGCTGAAAGGTTTCACTCTTCTATAATAGAACATCTTCGATTATTAAATAATCAAGATGAATATAAAAATGAACCCATAGAGCAAAAGGTAAATTATGCAATTTTAGCTTATAATAATACAAAACTAAAACAGTTTGAAATTATAACGGGTCATTTAGGCAACGATTCCCGTTTTAATATTGAAATTAAGCAAAAATTATTAAACGAATATATTTCAAAACATAAAGAAAAAATTAAACTTATTTATTCAAACATAAACGAAAAAATTCAAAATATAGAAGAAAAAGTTATAGAAAAAGCTTACAAAAATCGCGAAGAATTACCTAAAGATATACCTACTAGAGTATTTGTTCGTAATAAACAAAAACAAGGCAAGACAAAAAATAAGTATCAAGCCGAAAACATTAAAACAATAGATAAAAATACGAAGACAGCCAAAATTATTCATAGACACGGAAATACCGCTGAAGATATTCACCTATCTAATATTAAGAGACCTAGAAAAAAAACGTATGCTTTTATTTCGGATTCCTCGCCATTGGACAAGGAATAGAAATCAAAAATATAACCCAAAATTTAGATGCAGGTGATGGGGATAGAATAAATAAAATTTTAAATCATCTCCAAGAAAATCAAAATAATTTGCAAAATCAACTTAAAATGCAATACTCTGTAAGTCACGAAATTATTAACAATTTAAACACACAACCATTCACGATATTCAGCAAAATGAAATAACTTTAAAAAACAAAATTTTAAAAATTAAAAATATTATTGAATTTCAAGCGAATTTCGAAAATGTTCTTATATTTAAAAGATTTGCAATCAGCTACTAATAATATATAATTCATTATTAAATACTATACAGGATATTGAAAATTCACTGACATTCTGCAAATTAAGAACGTTACATCCCAGTATTATAAAATCCAAAGAATTATTCATAGAACTTACGTAAATTTCAAATCACTATAAAGCTCAACTACAATTTGAACTTAAATATGAAAATATTTTAGATTTTGAATCATTAATTAAAGATAGTTGTAAAATAACGGAAAATAATACTCAATACTTCTTATCAATTTCGAAAAACAATTTGAACTATATTATTTATCACCCATGCCTACAAAATACGAGTCAGAATTTGTAACAATAATTCCTAATACAAAATTTCTTTTAAAATCAAATGATAATTTTATAAAGCCTCTAAATGATATTTGTACGTCTGGTAAAATATATCATATTCCAAGTGTTTGGACAGTCGCCCTTTATATTGCCATAATATTAATTTTTATCCATTTTATCTTAAAACGTCGACAAACTATTTGTAAAGGAAATACCAAAAATCAAAGCACTGAGGAATATCCAGATGAAGCAAAAATGCGACTTCCGGAGTAAGCTAACTTCTAGCAAGGAGGAGTTATAGTGTACAATGTCACGAAGCCGCCAAGAACATTAACCTTTGCTTCCCATCAGTTTGCTTAATAGACATTTTTTAGTTCATTCGCATTTTGCAGTTTTATAAGATATTGTTTTATTTTATTTTAATTACGTTAGTCTAGAATCCGATTTTGTCCTTTAAACACCTTTTTTTTAACATAGTTTTTATTTCAAATAAATTATTTTTTAAAAAACTACCTTACGGCAATTTTGAATTTAAGTTATATACATATTTAAGTTTTTTCACATTTGCATAATTATTTGTTTAAATTTAAAAATATTATGCATTGATAAACACCCTTTATATTGTTTTTATTTTATAATACTATTCAACACTTTACCTGTTTGACTTATTACATTTATATATTTGTTTATTTTCACTCACTACATGCTTTGCATTTGTAATTACCATAATTACTAATTAAAATAATCCGCAGGTTTTGCTACTCGCTACATGGCTATTAATCCTTTCTCCGAATAAAAATTATTACTACATTTATTATTTATAAGTAGTTTTAGTGGATCAGTAGTGCAAAAATCAAGTTCAAGGTTCTTGATTAGGACATTCTCGTTCCAATCATCAACGGTGAATATACCGTAAACATTTTATTCTTGTAGTTGTTATAGCAGATACAATTTTTATTTAGTAAACAAACTGTTTAGAAAATGAAAATTACCCGTTTTTGTTTGTTGAGTCTTAGTGTTTTTGGTATATATTTCAAAGGTAAGGACTATTTAAATGTAAGATAAAAAATTAACCTTCACTTGGCCTCGTGGGGTGCGTACATATACCCCACACTCTTTCTCGTCGATTTTCGATATCTAAATCTTCGAAATCAAAACTCGTAACGACATCTATCGGTAGTTAAGGGATATACTGCCGCGGTAAAGCTATTGCATAGCATTTTTTATCAACTTATGCAATTATAATTATTTATTTTATTTATGCAGATTTTTTTTTCTTTGATATTAATTCAAGTTTTTTCTTTGATATTAATACAAGTTACACTTTTTGAGCGTGGTGACCGATAAGAAAACAAATTTTTTTCTTTTATTGAATAAATGAGAAGTTAATATTGTTTAAAATATTTTTATTATTTTACAATACATGTAGGTTATTCAGGAATTTTTAGCATTGAAACTATAGGTTTATGGTAACTGAAATAAGAAACATGAGCTTGAGACTTGATATCCTCTAAATATCTGGAAAATACCGCGCCAATGGTGGTCCCATATTTTGTGGTGGATTCTTGTGGATTATTATTCATTTTCAAATACAATTTTTCCGAAATTCGGTCTAAAAGAGATAGAATCAGTTATGAGAAGCCCAGGCAGCACACGACGTCCATTAGACGTCCACATTTTGTCCAAATAATGTTCTGGATGTCCATGAACTTCATATGGATGTCTATTGGACATCCATTTTCTGTTATCCAATGGATATACCCATTCCGACGTCCGATGGATGTCCAAAAAATGTCCATGATGGACACTATAAAAATGACTAACTTATAATAAATTATTATAATTCTTTTTGTTTAATTTAATTATTTAAAACGTTTTAATTAAAATAAATCAATCAATTCTCCTCTCCTAACGCCTCTGTTGACAAGATAAAAAAAGTAAAAGGCCATTCAGGCCACACTCGAAGAAGAAAAGAAGAAAGAGGTTAAGAAGAAAACATCCCACATGTAGCCCATAGATAATGTTTATCTGGTAAGAAAATAAGTATAATTAACATTAAATTATTTAAAAATCCAAAAATTAAAAAGCAAATCGTTTGTTTTAAACTAATATAACCTATCAATTATGTTTTAAACTTTATATTTTCGATTTACATTCAAAGAACCCCTTTCTTTTAGACCTTTTGTCAAAGGATTTACCTACCTACCTATTTAAGAAAATGGCTTTAGTAAAAGCTAACTAATATGCTGCAAATTCGAGATGATGTCAACACAATTATTATTGTAACTAAGAGGTGAGAAAACTTTCAAAGCAAAAGAAAAAAATTCAAGTTTCTATTTGTAGGGCATGAGACGTTAGCAGAAGTAAGAGGCTATTTAGAAGATACAAATATTTTTAAAGAAGCTGTAAGTTTTACTTTTATTAAATAAAATAGAATCGTTTTGTAACGTTATAATGCGTTGAAAGTAGTTTCATAAGTTATTTCTCTTAATGTTCACAAATACATATTTTTATTGCAATTTTAGATTCAACAGTTACCAAAACCAGAGGGGCAAGGACATGTACGAAATAATAAAAAGATGTTTTGTTGCCATAATTTCTAATACCCTCACGAAAGAATGCACATAATATAATGGTATGAAAATAAAATGGTAATTTAAAAAAACAATGAGCAGTGTTTTGTTTATATGTAAGTATAGGGGTAAAGTACATTAGGCAATGCATATTTTCATATTAGTTAATATAATTTTATCTAAAAGTTTTACATTTTTAACTATCAGTTTTGCCTGATCAGGCGTGTATTAAACGATTGATTTAAGACTCAATATTCGTATAAAATGTAATGTCTTTTTTAGCTGCTGCTGAGAGTGATAATGGTGCTGCTTAAAAAGTAAGCGAAATAGCCTTAAGAAAATGGCTAAAAAGGTTAACAGAAAGAAGTTCGTATAAAACTAATACATGCTTGATATTATTTATGACAATAAAAATAAGTCCATAGTTGCAATTATTTTATTTCAAATTAATATAGGTGGTGATGTCCGTCAGATGTCCATAAATTGTCCAAAAGCAATACAAAAAGAGTCCATATATGGACCTTTCATGGAGTCCAAATGGATGTCCAGGAGTGGGACATTTGTATACTCCAGTGGATGTCCATTGGATGTCTTTCGGTAAAATGCTGCATGTCCTTTGGACAGTCGATATGTCCATGAATGGACTTCCGATGGACATCCAATGGATTAACTTGTGCTGTCTGGGAGTTAGCAGCTAGTCTACACGCATACGTCTAGTCGCACGCACACAAACACCGTGCCGAAGTCTGCCGAACGGAAACGACGTTAGACGATGCACGGCTTTCAACGCCGCACCGCTGTGCCATTCGGAGTGAGGGGTGTTAGGTTTATTTTCGTTATGGAATTTCTTTTTCGATTTTTTGATTTTTTGATTTTTTGATTTTTCGATTTTTCGATTTTTCGATTTTTCGATTTTTCGATTTTTCGATTTTTCGATTTTTCGATTTTTCGATTTTTCGATTTTTCGATTTTTCGATATTTCGATTTTTCGATTTTTCGATTTTTCGATTTTTTGATTTTTCGATTTTTCGATTTTTCGATTTTTCGATTTTTCGATTTTTCGATTTTTCGATTTTTCGATTTTTCGATTTTTCGATTTTTCGATTTTTGATTTTTTGATTTTTCGATCTAGAATCATTATGATCATTATGAAAAGTATCTACCGGAATGTACCAGAATAACAAAAGCGTGAATTATCATAATTCACTCCGTGATATATGGGTACTATAAATGCTCTTAGTTAGGAGGTAGAATATTGTATTATTATGTGGTCGTGGACAAAAATATTAGAAATATTATTTAAAAATATTTAAAACTAAATTTGTCGATAATAATTATAATAAAATAGCATTTCTGTAAATCAAATAATTAATTTTCAGAAACACATGGAGGGATATGGAATATATGGGACTTAAATTACTGGAGATGTATACTAAAGAAGTACTATCAATGTCCTGACAATGATATTAGATATTATTTATATACACCGTAAGTATATATAACTATATAACATTTATATAATTGCCGCGTTTGAATATCCACATCGGATGCATCTGAGATGTTGTAAATCTTTGATCACGTGATTAAGTATACGTAAATGTAGTAGGACAGATGTGTCCGATGTGGATAAACAAACGCTCAAGATCTAAAAAATGTATCGGATGTGGATATTCAAACGCGGCAAATGTACAACTAAAACAATAACAGACAGGTTCATCTGCTTTCTTAATTGGTTGCAAATGTTAATATTATTTTTCTTAACAATCTGGTAAAATTGCAACCCCGGACAAGGTCCGGAACCTTGAAAAATTAATAAAAATCAACAATTCGTACATTTTGCAGTTGCCAAAAATTTTAAAAGTATTGCAAATTTTACAGAACGATTTAAATAACTTTCGTTCCAACATAAAGCAAATCAGTTTGCGTACTGTCTGGATTCTGCGCAGTCTAGAATTCGTGTTCCAACAAACCTTAGACTCAAAACTGTACAAAAATATAGTGTTCCAACACAACCTAAACTAATCACAAACTGATTTATGTACGGTCAAATCAGTTCCTGGGTCTGAATAGGAACGAATTGTCAAGACATGCGCAAAGCCGCAATAAACTGAACATTTCGTGATTGTAATTATATTATTTGTATCTATTATCTCTGACAGTTCTGATTTGTATTTGCTAATCGAGTTTAGTCTTCATGGTTTTTGTTTATTATCATTTATTTTATTTTGTGGTTTATTATTGTAATAGTACATAATCGAGTTCCGGGTTGAATCCCAATCCCCGACCAATACCTGACAAGTTGTCAATTACTAGTCGTCGACAGATTGTCAACAATAAGTTTTGGACTGGTTTATGTATTGTTCCAAGATCGTTGTTGGAACAAACCTTACAAATGTAAATGCAAATTTGCAACGCTTTAAGATTAATGCAAAAGTTGTAAATTGTCTATGACCAATATTGCATTGCGAAATTAAGAAAAGTATCTAGGGGAACAAAAAAAATATTCATAAGCAATATAGAATTTGCAACCTTATACTTTTCAAGCAAAATATTTAAATAATTTCTTGTTTTCGTTTTTCATCTAGTTTACAGATAATATTTATATTTATCCCATATTAAATAATTGCCGACACGTATAAACTAGTACATAGAAGAGAAAACAATCAATATCGTAAATCGAGCCAAAAATAAGAAATTAACCCAATACCGTTAAAGAAAAACACCAAATATTATACTTAAGCTCTATTCCGGCCTGCGCCAATTTTTGTTCAATCAAATTTTTTCCAATACTATCCTAATGTTGAGTAAAACGCGCTTCCTGTTATTTGAAAATTTTTGGATGATTATGACCATTTCAAGGGTAATGGAAAATTGTTGACCGTAATCCAAGAACAGAGTCTTTAAGGGTCTTTGAAGACGAACATTTTCCCATAAAAAGTTTGGTAAAATTTCAATCTCGCGTAAGGGAGGCCGGGGTACATTCGGACACGGGGCACATACGGACAGTTCAAATTTACCGCCTAAAAAAGTTGATACAGTATTAAATAGGAATTCAATCACATGGTTAATAGCTTTATAACTATAACCATAACCTAAGAAATGTTGTATGTGATTATTTTCTTTAATTACAGCAGGGGCACTTTCGGACACATGAATTGTGAACTAGACTATTAAATGTATTTTTAACAGAGTGTATTTCTTTTTCGTCTAGGTTGGTTCGCACTTACAAAAAGAAAACCGAAAGAGTCAATATTTCAGAAGATGCAATACGAGCTGCAATATCGGATATAGTTGATCTGTTAGACAGGCTTCTTCAGTACACAATATTAAAAAGTCGACAATCCACGATCGTTTAAAAATATTTCATAAAAAACAAAATAGGGATTCTGGCAATGATAGTGAAGAGGAAGATCAAGATCAAAGATCTAGTAAATATGCAGCAAGGAGTGTGTTCAACTCTCAAGAAAAAAGTGAAGTAAAAGATTATTTAATTCAGACTTCCAATCGGCATTTTGGGTTAACCTACAAGAACACTCGTACTTTAGCGTACGAATACGCATTCAAACTACAAAAGAAATATCCATCGTCCTGGGATAAAAACAAAATGGCCGGTGAAGATTGGATGGCTGGTTTTATGAAATCTATCCCACCGAAAACTGGAAAATACCAGCCTGGCAAGATCTAGCGCTTTCAATCCAACTAACGTTAAACAGTTTTTTGACAATTATAGAAAAGTAATGAAAAAATACAAGTTCACGCCAAATAGAATCCTGAACTGTGGTGAAACGGGAATAACAACTTTTTTACAAGCCCCAAAAGTAATTGCACAAAGTGGAAAGAAACAGGTTGGACAGATCTCTTCTGGAGAGGGTGGCACCCTAGTAACATTTTTGGGGATTATAGCAGCATCGGGAATTTCGTTGCCTCCTGTTTATCTACTTCCAGGGGTACGGATGAAGGATGAGTATTTGTATGGTTCTCCTCCAGGCTCCGTGTGTTTTGGATCAAAGACTGGGTGGATGACTGCTGAGATTTTTGTAAAGGTGTTGGAACATATTAAGAAGCATAAAGACTGTAATGTTGATAACCCAATATTACTGATAGTAGATAACCATGAGACTCATATTAGCCTTGCAGCTATTTTGTATTGTAAAGAAAACGACATTAAATTACTATCGTTTCCACCGCATTGTACTCACCAGATGCAACCCTTAGATGTAGGAATATATGGGCCTTTTAAATCAAGGTGCAAGTCATCTCGTTCAACGACTTTTTGAGCTCCAAACCTGGGACAACGATTAAAATAAACCACATTTCTCAACTTTCTTACGCACCATACTTGTTATCATTCACTCCAATAAATATTGTAAAAGCATTTTCCAAAACAGGAATTAGGCCGGTGAATTCTCTGGTTTTTTCTAAAAATGATTACCTTCCAGCTTCGGTAACAGATAGACCTTTAAGCACACCTGCGATAATTCACGATCTAAATATATCTATGGAACCACAAGACCCCATAATTGACTTGCCAGATTCATCAAATAGTGACTTGCCAGTTCATCAAATATTCAATCTAATGACATTGTTAATATCGTGACTAATATTGTTGAAGAGTTGGTGGAAAATGTATGCAATACACAAACAAATAGTTCCGTTAATAATGAACAAGAAAAGAAGAAGGTCCTGGTAACAGATATTCGCCCTCTTCCCAAGGCACCTCTAAGAAAAACCGTACGAAAATTAAAGCAAGGAAGCTCCCGGATTTATACCAATACACCGGAAAAAGATCTAATTGAAGAAATTGAAAAAAGAAAAGTCAACAAACAAGCTGAGAAAGATGCTTAAAGACGAGTATTTTCAATGCAAGAAAAAAAATCTGAAACGAAGGAAGTAAATCCAACATCCAAAAATAAAAAAAATAAAAAGAAGAAATATCTAAACAAAATCAAAGATGAGGTATCGTCGTCTGATTCAGACATTCCAGAACCCAAAAAAAGCAGATGGTCTTCCGATTCGTCTGACGCAGACAATATGGACCTCGAGGGCGAAGAAACTGATGTTTCAGATTTACTGAATAATGAGACAATAATTCAGATCAACGATTATATTTTAGTCCAATTTCCTACAAAAAAAAAACCATCAAGTACTATATCGGTAAAGTACTAGTAGCGGATCATGGCTCAGATGAATATGAGGTCAGCTTTTTAAGAAGAAAAGGCAATTTAGGTTTTGTTTTTCCTGATATCCTCGATGTGTCAATGGTATCTAGTAGTGATGTCATTTTGAAGCTTCCTGAACCTGTGAATAAGCCCATTTTTTTAAAACGGTTACAAAATAGTTAAATATTACATATTGATTTAATTAAAAATTATCATCGTATATCTAATAAGGCGAACTTCGGTATAGTTCTAAAAGTCAGCCACTAACTTTTATTGTTAATGAAATAAATGCATTTCTCCAAAATCGTCCGAATGTGCCCCGGGCTCCCCTACTGTAGGATCACTTTTGTGCGGGAAATCTACGTTTTTGCATAAAACCCAATTTTTGGAACAGAATTCCGGAAAAATGAAGATGTAAAACGAAAATCGAAAATGAGGGATCGCTAGGCAATTTCAAGACGAACATTTAAAAAAAAAATTCACCTCAGACACTCCAACCCCAAAAGGTTCGCGCCACTGTGCTGTGGTGAATTGATTAGATTTTGGGCAGAGTCGGAACATCTAGGGGGTACTTTATGGGGGGAAATTTTTATATTTTATGAAATACATCTGCTATTTACACTTGGATGAGAAAATTCTTTAAATAAAAGTTACTTCTAATATTATTCTCTTGTATAGGTATTCTTCCTGTCCATATTTCTATTCATAATCCATTATATTCCTCAATTAATCACTTTTACTCCATTGTCTCATATTCTTCATTTATTCATAATATCATTTCACATTCACTCTATAAATCATCATTAAAACTCATATTATATTTCTCATAATACACATCATATTTCATTTATTCTGCTACAACTTAACTCATTTTCTTTCTAGTCTTTCATCTTCTTTTTAATGGACTCTTCCAGCTCCTTTTTCAAAATACCTACTTTATTTTTGAACAAATTCTATCTTCCACTAATATTCTAAATTTTTTTATTTAACTATTTTATCTTCATCGTATTTATAATGATTAGTTCCTTTTTCTTGATGCTCTTTTTTTACAAAGGTATTTAATAAATTCGGACTATTTTGTTATTATTTAGTTATGATTTCATTTTTTTTTACTTATTATGTTTTTGTTTATAATTGTTGTATTATTTTATCCATTAATTTATTTGAATTTATTAATTTAATTTCCTAAATAATATTCCACTATTTCACTATTACTTAATTATCCTATCTTCTATATTATTTTCTTTTTCTAACAATCCGTTTTCCATAGTCATATGTTTTTCTTTTTAAATTTTACATCTTTAATCCCCGTTTGAAGCTTTCTTTGTT